CATAACAGAGCTTCTGGTTCATCCATCCTGTGGCTGAAACATCTAGGTTAGTTTAGACATGTTTGACGAGTAAAAAATATCTGCTGTGACAGATGCCTATAATCAGCCTGTACAACATGTTGAGTAATCACAGCTTAATGTGACCTTGCGTTGTCTCTAGTGTCTGCTAAATGTCTGAGATGTAGATGACATGTTTTAATGAGCCTGTAGCTTAGCTCGGTGTCAGACTAAGTAAATGCATCTGATTCTCACTATTTCTCTGAGGCATTTAGCTCATTAGTTGTAAAAGTAACGGCGGGAGTCTGGGCTGCAGACAGCTGCTTATTAGTGAGAAGACTTTCAGAGCCAAACTACGACGTCTAATGAATGTGCTGCAGAGAGGGAGGTGATGCTGTGGTGCCTGATTCTGCATCATCTCACTAAATACTTAGAGCCCAGATTTACATAGACTTATCCATCCTGATGTTTACGTCTCAACCTAAACAACGAAGTTGACTTTTTACATGCATAGTAGAAACCAAATCTGATTAAGGCAGGAAAATGAGGAATGTGGTGGCATTCATTATCACTTCAAGACCCATATTTACAGCTGTTTAGCAACCAGATCTGCTAAAGTCAACAGGTTTGTCCAAGAGAATTTTTTTTTTTTTTTTTTACAAGATTACAAGAATTATTTTACTCTCTTCCAGTGATTGGTAAACCTGGTTTTAGGGATGTTCAATTGAATTTTGTTTTCCTCACTGAGCCAATGCTCGTTAACTGACAACATTTAAAACATACCATTTAGAATAGCTGAGTGTCTATAACCCATTAAACCATACTAATACACAGGGGTTGAAGTGGACCAGAACAATTCGGGGTGTCTAAACAGAGAGTGAGTCAGACAAGCACAAACACAGAGACAGGAGAGAAGCCCCCCCCGACAGATCATCACAAGGCGATGGTCCTTTTAACTTCATTGTTGCAGAAGAAGCGACGTCCCACTGATCCAGGAACACATTAAAAGCTCTACGTTATAAACTCATGAGGTTATTATAAAGATCAGCTCTACATGTGAGTAAAAAGAGCAGAGGAGCAGAACTGCTTCTTGACTGGTGGAGAAATGCACTTCTTGTGTGAACAGCCAGGCTACTCGAGCAGACCAGGTCCACCTCACTCCTCAGCAGTGTACAGCTTGTCTACTGGTTTTTATTCAGAGAAAGCTACATGTGGACAGGCTGTGGGGTGGAGAATACCTGCTCACATGCTTCTGATGTCCAAGGTTATTTAACTGTTTAATTGATTGTATTAATTGGTCAAAATCTTACTGTCGGTTAGTGATTAACACTAGCAGGGTTCTCTTAAGGTGATGTTTAAGAGATCAGCTTACTGCACAGAGCCAACAATGAATACACCCATCAGGTGTTCAAATGAGAATTAATTTCAAACTGGAGCTGGTTTGAATACTGGCTGGTAACAATGATTAATAATTTGAGCAGCAGGATTATGTGATTACTAATGCAAGCGAATTTCCAATATTAAAAAACTGATAAACTCCAAATATCATGAAATCCACAGCAAAATGAAAACACTTCTGCTTTATGGTCTGCATATGTGTGGCTGTCTCATGTGCAGCCAAAGAAACAGACAAACCAATAAAAATATTTGATACAACTTGACAAAAGCCAGCTAATTAGGATGATGCACGTCTATGAAAATAATGAGGATATTACGTTACACTGTGATGCTTCCCTCTAACACTGTGTGGAAATTAGTTGTTTGGGTCAAACTGGCTCAGGAGGAGCTTGAATCTCTCTGCTGCTGCTGCCATTCCCACATGAGCTGTTTTTACAGGATGAAAAAAATTAACCAGCATGAGCGCATTTCTGTGACCTTTAAAACTTCCAAGACACACACTGGGATTATTACCAAGAGCAGCTCAACACACTGCTAAAGAGGAGTGGGAGGGAGGGAGATAATACTGTCTCTGTGAAAACACCTCGCTTAACTCCTCACAGCCAAAAGGCCATAAGATAATCAGCACAAACGCTTGTTGCTTTTTCATCTGTCTGATTATTTCTATGGGATGTTTCAGGTTTCAGAAGCCACTAACTTTTGAATTTGAACTTTTGAGACCATGGAAGACACATTCCAGTACAGAACCTCTTACACAACAGTCTCTCTTAAGAAATGTTTGCCCAACAACTGGGTGTGGACCCAAAGCTGGGTCTCCAGCAGATCAAAACCAATACCTGAAATATTCCTCTGCGACAAGAAAGTGGTTGTTTTGCAGGAAAATGCAGGCGAACACATACCTATATCCATGGTTGTGCAGAAAATGCTGTTGTCTGGTAGGTGGATAAATTAACAGCCAGAAAAATTACCAACAATTACCTAAAAATCATCTTACATAATACCCTGAAAAAGCTCTTTGGCTGCATAGTGCTAATGAGAGCAGTGTACTACACAGCAAAGTGATGAGGAGCTGCTCTGAAGGCATGAATGAAACTCTTTAAAGTCTTAGCAGTGTGTCAGCATTTCAGCATTATCTGACCATACAGATGAAAGAGGAGGGTGGGGGGGGGGGGGGGGGGCAGTGGGATACTGCAGAGACAAAGAAGGCTGTAAATGCACCATTAAATACTGAGGATATAGAGCATCTGATGAGCTGACTCCAGGTAGACTGGGTGAGGTTAAAACCGTGTCTACCATTTCTTCCAGATCTTAAATTAAAGATGAACACATTTTAAAGACCAACATTATTCATTCATAATCAATATTTTTTCCAACCAAATGAATGAACCACATGAATTCCCCAGACATCTGAGGATATTACTCAGATCTTTTTGCTCCTGATTCAGCTGCTGATTTTACTATTTCAGTCCTACGATGATTCACTCTGGTTTTGGTTTTACTCACAATTATCAGAAAATACCCTCTGGTGACTCAGAAGAGGAACTAACACACACACTACACACATGCGCACACACAGACTCTGCCTGTTCATGCCCACTGACTGCACACAAAAATGAATTCATCTCCAAATACACAGAGAGCACACAGTACTATGTTTACAGTGAGGTAGTTTTGTGCCACTATTGATTATTTTAGTGTGGAATCAGTGGAACTTTAATGTTTCAGCTGTAGGTTTGCTGAATAATGCCAGTCATTCCTCTGTTATCTGATATTTGTAAGCTTTCTAGACAGGCTGATTTGGTTATACTTTTTTAACTGCCGTGACAAGTAATTATTGGTGCAACATTTCAAAAGATGGAGGGAACTTCTAACTGTGACAAACTGAAATGGAATTGTAAAATTATATTCCTTGGCTGGATAGAAAATGATGGCACCTTCTCATCATGTTGGGAGTTCCTGTAATTTACCAGTTTTCACTTTCAGTCACTTGTGTATTATTTTAAGCCAAGTTGGATGTATTGGAACAGTCATAAAAAAAATCCCTTAGTTTCCCAGTGGTAATTCTGACTTAAAAGATGAAACAAGCCAAGGTGCTTTGCTTGAAGTAATTAAAGGCTACTTTGCATTTGGACATGTCTGTGTGCTGCTTGTTAAACAGCAACACCAGTGGGAAAACATACTTAATGGCATGCAGGCAGCACATGAAGAAGCAGATATGATACTGAGGCTCCCAGCCGCAGATGCTAGAGATGCTGTGGTACCACACTGTGTTTAGGAAGAGCTGTGTAATTCCTTAACTAAAAAAATAAATATGCGAGTTATAAAAGATGTTGGACCACCATTGCAGCAAGTGCTGATATATCAGCCTATATCAGCTGTAGTGAAAACAACGAACAGGTTTGTTGTTGTTGTTTTGGTATCG